TTAAGAATAATACTGCAATCGCTCTCAAGTAAAAAAGTTTGAAGGAGAAGCAAATTGATCATTGCAATGCGAAAGCATGCGTCGGAGGAGCCAGGCTGCCCTCTATTCTACGTTTGGCGTCCTGCTTCTCCTCAAGGCTGACCTCTTCGGTTGGCTTGGGCATGTCGGGCTCGAACGGAGGGATTTCAGGGCTGTGACCAATAGACATTCCCACTCGAATCTGAATACGGCAGATCTCAAGATTAGCGAGAGTCGACAAAAAAGAAATCAGGAATCAGCAAGGGGATTGTGCTCACCAAAGTCTCCAAAGCAACCCTAGAGTTATCAACCAGGTCTCTATCAAACTTCATCACGCCTTCCTCGAAGAGGAGCAGCACAGTACTTCCGCCAAACTTGAAGTATCCAAGCTCTTCGCCACGGCTGACCTTCTCGCCTGCCTTCCGAGTGATCACCGTGCTTCCGACCATCATGGCCCCCACACAGACCACCATGACCCGGCCGTGGGCGATCGAGTCAATCGGTACAAGAATTCTTACGTTCTCACCGTACACATCCAATGCAGAACGGATCGCCATCGGGTTCACTGTGTAGTACTCGCCCTCGATGGTCTTGGGGGTACCCATAACACCGTCAACGGGAATATGGAAGCGGTGGTAGTCCTGAGGAGCCAGGCGGAATATTCCCAAGGCTCCATTTTTATAGCGCGGAGCATCCTCCGGGTATGCATTCCCGAGAAGCCTCTCCACGGAGAACTCCCTGCCCTTGACCCAGATACTGGTCGCCTCGTCGATGCGGTCAAAAACAACCGATCGGCAGTCAGCAGGCGACACGATGATTCTCGGCTCATTTGGAGCTGAACAAGGGCGTGCGTCAGGCTTCAATTGTCGGTAGAAGAACTCATTGAATGTCTTGAACTGGTCAAGGGGTAGCAGAACCTCTGACAGGTCAAGCTGATGGAAGTTGATAAAGTCCCGGATCTGAGCTGCGGAAGCTGGATCATCATATTTCTTGCCTTGCTTGATACTCATCGACTTGAGGATCTTACGAACTGTAGCTTGGTCAACCTTCAATTCTTTCTGGGTGTTTATCGTTTGACAGTAACTTACTTCGCTTCTTCTCCATTTCCCGGCTCTTGAGGCCTCTGTAAAGGAGCCGAATACCCAGGCGCACGTAAACGCTCATTCGCTCCTCGTTGATCTGCCCTGTAATTCGATCTTGAACAAGGATATTGGCGGAATTTGCGCCTAGCTTGTAGCCACCGTAAGATATCTTTGTGATAACTTTGGAGTACCACTTGCGTTGCGCCTGGCTGGAAGTGACAAAGCCACCCATCACAAGATTGTCAACCTGCCGCCAGTCTTGACTTGCGCATGTAGCAATGTGGGTGATAATGTCCGCATCGGAGCGCTTCGCGAGCCGCGGTTGATGGCAGAGAGGACACTCCCGAATCTCAATAACATGCTCTTCACCCCGCTCATCACCAAGATCATCGGGATGGAGATCTTCCTCGCTCGTGGATTGTTGCTCTTCCTGGCCCAATGTCGGTACGGATGTTGTGCCAGGATCAGTATTGGCGGGCAGTGTTGTGCTCGTCTCCACAGGGTACTCGTCGCCGTCAGATTGTTCTTCGCTTCTTTGGCTGCCATTTGAGGATGGGGTTAGAGATTGCATGTTGGCATTGGCCATAGGGACCTTTTGCAGTGCCTGCAGTGTGTCCTCCAGACACATCACAACTTGGTCAAAACTCAGATCCACCGTCTCGACGGGCTCGTTTCCGGAACTGAACCGTTGGAAGAAACTGTCAATCGTAGACTCTTTCAAGGTCGAGCCAAGAGTGTCAAGCATCGTTGTCAACTCGACCTTGTCGATTCGACCACTGTCGTCAGCGTCATATTGTTTGAGCATGAGTCTCCAGAATTGCTGACGAAGCGCACGGTAGGGCATATATTTCGCTTTCACAATAATCTCTGGAGAGTGCTTGTCCTCCCACCGTTCCTTGTTCTTTAGTGTCAAAGGGATCTTGTACATTTGAAAGTCATGCGAGTCCATCTGGCCCACTTCGCCTGCAGTAGCAGTAGGAGCACTGGAAATATTGCTGCTGCTTTCTCTTCCCTCCGGGACGCTGGTGGGTGGAGAGGTAGCTGGCTGCTCTGATTGAGACTGGGTAGACAGTGAGGCAGCAGAGCTTCTCGACCTTATTAAACCGGGCCGTGACATTTTCGAAAAACTGAGAGTCGACGGTGAGGGACTGACACCAGACTTGGCCCCTGATTTACCGACAGAGCTTGTATCAGAACCTGTTGGGCTAAGTGAAGGATCCCGGAGCCGATAGAGGCCCGTTTCCGGATCTGCCTCAGGAGCAGCCTGGATCAAGGTCTGTAGCGGAAACCCAGCCGATGCAACAAAGTCATTGCCGGAAAACTTATCCCGATCCATGACAGTAAAGCTCATCGTGTAGGACTGTTCATGTTTCATGACCTGGAAGACCATCTTCTCGTTGTAGACCGGGTTCAGGTTGTGACGAACGACGGGAGTTCTGAGAGTTTTCCGTCCAAGCGAGGTCACGACAAATGGATCCATGTCAAAGGAAGTACGTGTCACTTATCTAAATCAGCAACCGCCTTAAACCATGGAGGTCGAGCGACATACCGTTCCGTTCCGGCGGAAGATCTGTTACCTGCACAATCTCCATGAACACGATACCCTGGACTCCGTTGCCGGCCCCAGAAAATTGATACGCCCGAGCTGCTAGTGATTTCCGTTTCAAGCGAGCGAGCCGGAGTCGTTTCCTCCTCTTTTCCACAATCTCTGGTTTCGACAGGTCGTCGGTCTCATCCGAGGTCTCCTCGTCCCTGTCGGCTTCGTCCGATTCGTTTGTCGGGACTTGCGGAAGGTCCTCATCTTCCTCGCCAGCGCACACCAAGGTCCTGAACCTTTGGTAGATCTCGGTCGCGGGTGCCGATACATTCGACGGGTCGATCAGCGCAAACTGAAGGAGGATCTCTCCAGACACGTTGCTGTCCTTCTTCTTGGTCGGCTTCCGCTTCGACTTGAGAGTATACCATTTGGGCTTGACAGACGATCAGCTGGTGGCCATGGTCTAAGCCAATATATCCTCCTTACTCACCGGCTGATTGATTTCGCCATCGGCGAAGATGTCCTCGAGGGGGATGTCAAACTCGCCCAAGTAATCTTTCCCGAATCTGTCGTGATCCCAGCAGATACACTCCAGCAACGGTACACCAACCACCGGCATCTCGAAAGTCACGTTCCATTCCGGATTCAACGTCTTCGGTATTGTTGGGGTCGATTGTCTTGAGTCTCCAAGTGTAACAACTAGATACTAAATACGCAATTTGATCAGCCCTGTCCTCAGTTATGGCATCCATTGACATGAACTCACCGGATCACTGGTTCCACCTCTGTCTTTGGCTGCAAGATTTCTGCCCTGGTGTTGTTCAAATTGAGAGGTTAGCCTCCGGAAGTGGCACTCCACGGAGCTCAGCGGAAGTTCCGGGCTGGAGAAGAGGTCCGCTCACCCTAATTGCAGAAACCTTGAGAACCAGCGGCCTCGTCTCTGTTGCTCTCATCGGACTTGTGCTTCTGCTTTGACCGGGAGTCGAAGCATTGCTCTTCACGCTGAGATGAGAGCTGAGACGTTGAGGCAATGGTAACCGCACCATGGTGGACGGCGGAAATTGCGGGGGAGCTGCTTAAGATGGCAGCCGGAGGACACGTCGCGTCAGCCCCAAGAATATTCTAATGTCTGAGAAGAGATGATGTCTAGTATGTTGTTGCAATGATAACAGGTACAGATCGTAGAAAGAATGACGGTATAATGAATCGCAAATGGGTGGTTCCAGGACCGTCCACCGACCGGAGGATGTCGCGGTGTGGTTGAATCCGGGTTGATCTAAGATCTGGTCGGGTCGATCAGAGTTCCGTTCACACCAAGAAACGGGAGCCACCACAAAGTCCACAATAGATTGCGAAGGAAGAATAAGAATGAAAATCCTGATGACAATGCAATTGAAGTTCTTGACACGTTGATAAGGGAGTCAAGATGAACACGTTAAGAGAAAGACAGAAGAAAGAAAGTTGATAGGAGCGTGAATAGGGGATAGATACACTACCTCAAATTAAGAGAGAGAACAACAATTAAGTACCAAGACCCTTAGTACGGGTTTGTACTATATTTTTGTTTTCTTGGTGGGGCTTGAGCCTTCTCTCCGTCTCACTGAGGCGTAGAATGAGGATCTCTCTACAGGATAATATGCAGAAATATGAAATTGAGCGTCGAGGAGAAAGGATTCACAGTTGCCATCATGGGAATCTAATTAATCATCATTTATTTGCAGGCTGTGAAGCTAAAATTATACATACATACATTGAGCCTGCCGGAAGACTCTTTGGTTACGTTTTAAGACGTCAGACATAAACAGGCAAATGATAGAAAGTGACAGAAGAAGAGCTGTGGAAGGAAGATCAAACATTGATCCACCGACGGCGCAACAAGCACTGGGCAATCACAATTCCGGTCTCCACCACGACCGTTGCTCTCGAGCAATGAGGAATTGAGGCTATTCTTGAATGTGGCTGCCTACTTGTCTACCATATCTCATGTCTAAAGAGGCAAACCTTCGGAGGCTTCTCTTATGCATGCTAGTGTGCACCAGTGCAACATACTCGAGTCGCTTGACGTCTTTTTGCATGACTAGTCAACATTTTTCTTCCATGAGACCGACTCCCACTTTTCCCCTCATGGATCAGTGACGGACCAGTGGGGGTGTAGGTACCATACAGTCTGTCTGGCTCGGTGGAGTTGTTCCTGTCAGTATGCCACTACGCACCACATTTTGACTTTACCATGCAGTACATAGTATATCTTTTGATATTGTTCGACACCACCGGTTTTGTAGCCGTCCCAAAGTCAACTAGGGAACTCAGCACAGTTGAGACGCAAAAAGGCGGGGTTACTGCCACCAAACCCAAAGTAGCTGAATGCGCTTCTAACAATGGCTACTTCGTAAGCAAGACATCAATCATAGTAGAACTAAATGCGGACAATTTCCCAATATGACGCAAGTGATTTCAGCCTGGACATTGCCTCGGTCCGTTCCGAACCGGTGCATAACAATGAAATTGGTATACGGATGTAAGGCTTCGATTCCTTGCTAAGGTAGAAGAGTACTCAGAGGTAACGACCAGATAGATGAAACAGAAAGGCATTAGTCTGTCCGTCTCGAGTCTTCTCTTCCCCAGACCTCATCGGCATTGGCCTTGCCTTTGGTCTCAGGCACCCACCCGTAGATGAAGCCTCCAAGAAGGCAAGCCAGTACCGCAAAGATCCAGTAGATCTTACCACGGCCGCCCAATGCGTCGTTAAGCACGGGGAAGAACTGAGCCACGACGAACGTGGCGGTCCAGTTGGCCGCCAGCGCCCAGCTCTGTGTCGCACCCACAGCCTCGGGACCGACTAGTTCAGAGGCCAAGATAAAAGGTACCGGACCTAATCCAACCGCGAAGCTGGCCACAAATAACAAAGCTGCTATTGCGGACAAGACTTTCTGATTGAAATAGATTCCGAGCGCCAGCAAGACAGAGTTGCACCCCATGCCGGAGATGCTCAGAAGCAGGCAGGTCTTTCGGCCTATCTTATCGGGCAAAGGTGAGCAGGCAAGAGTAATGATCAGATTGAGGGCCGAGATCATCACGGTCAGCAAAGCCGCTCCCGTGGGAAGGAGACTCTGTAGAAGCGAGACACTATACATGATGATACTGTTAATTCCGGTGAACTGTTGAGCCACCATGACTCCAATGACAGCAACGATGGCCGGACGGTAGTATGGATCTGTCACAGCTCGCACGATCGTAACTGGAGGTTGCTTAGGTGGCAAGTTGCCGGAAGGAGGGGTGAGCAGTGACTCCTCCTCCGGTCCTGTGGGCCTCTCGGAGCTCTTCCATCCTTCAATCTCCTCTTCGATATCTGCACCCTTCCCACGTATCCTCTGCAGCACATGTCTGGCCAGATTCGCCTGTTGATGCTCAGCCAGCCAAGTGGGGCTTTCCGGTACGAAGAATAGACCAAGGAGTTCCGAAACCCCGAGTAACCCAGCCACGGCAAGTATGGCCCTCCACTGAGCTCCTTTGCTGAAAAAGTAGCCGAGCGTCTGGGTAAATAGAATACCTACATTGGTCATAATCTGCGTAAAGGCGCCGAAGAACCCTTTCGCGTTGGGCGGGGCAATCTCGGATATATAAATTGGACCAACGACAATAGCAGCACCCGCACCAACACCACTCAGCAACCTACCGACACTCAAGATCGGTATACTTGGTGCAAACGTTTCGGCTACCGGGCCCAGAATGAAGAAAATCGTTGTAGCTCGCAAGGCGAATAGTCGCCCATGTTTAGTGGAAACGGGCCCTGCCAGCAGGGCACCTAGCAAACCACCAAGGGTGTATATGGAGGACACCAGACCGAATTGGGAAGGGTGCATTGGAATACATTGAGGCAGAGTTCCGAACAATGCTGAAGCGGTAGAATGGATGCTCTTTCGCTCGCAGGTAATAACAGCTTGGGGGGCATTAAGCTCGGCCTGTTTCAGTCCAGGGTAAGTAACGGCCAGGAGTCAAGCAATCCAAGAGCGCTTTGCACAAACCAGATGATAGCCAAATTGAAGCGGCCCTAGTGTGACAACAAAAACGAGATAGACCAGGTATGCTGTGACCCTGGAACGGGTCAGTCCAGTGGGACTCATGATGCTACTGGTCTGTTGGTCTGTCGGAGTGGATATTGATCCGAATCATATAGCTAGATCGAGGTACAAGAAGCCACGAGGTAGGAATATAGTTAATAATATCGAACCATTGTATTGCTGAGATTGAAGCTGAAAGTATTCTGACCCTACTACTCGTAGTAGGTATTGGTTGGTCGCAGGATGACGTTGACAGGGGCCGTGGGAGCTTGGACTGCTGCCGGGATAAGGAAACTCCGTGCTGATTTAGGTCATGGACACTGTCTAGCCAAACATGACAGTTCTAGCAATAGGTCTACTACCTGCAAGGAGAGAAGTCGTACTGTCAGCCTATGAAGTTGATGAAAATGCTATGTCCCGAGACTAGCAGCGCCTTCAGAGTATGACTCCGCAGATGCTGGAGTATAACACGGGAGCCCGCAATTTGGCAATGACGACGCATATCAGCAATGAAAAGTGGCCAAAGACACTACCATGGAATTATGCAAGACAATTCAGATTCAGCAAATAGTCATGAAGAGAGTAAATTCATTATCCTAAATGTATCTCTCATGGAGCAAGAGTGACTTTTGCGGAAGAAGCAATATGTGTCTGCTGACTAACAAAAGAGGGGGAAATTCAGGGACAGTCGAGAAAGAGACCCAGACCGACCACTCAATGCATCGTCAACATACTCAAGCTGCCATTGCTATTTGTCTTTCGGAATCCAACCTCATCATCGTTTCTGCATGCAATCGTTTCTAGTAGTTGTGGAGACAGGCTGTCAAGTATCCTAAGAGTGCACTGTCCATGCCACTACTGCGACCGTGGATTTCGATGAGGAGATCCTAGTACACTACTATATCCACCCCAGTTGAACGGTTACCGAGAGATACTCCGGACCTCCGCCTTTCGGGCCCTTTTGCTATTCCACACCAATCTCTCCATCCATGAGTCTGACACACCAGCCTTCATCATCCGGCCCATTAACTGCATCCTCTCGGTCCGCTGCGGCCAGCGTCAACCAAAATCTGTCTTTAAAACGGAATTTACAGGCCGCTGTTGATGGTAATACCGGTTAATATCATATTGTCACCTATTTTACATCCATTTCTTCTTTTCCTTGCCACTCGGCTCTCATAAGTGTTCATCTTTTCCGTCTTCTACTTTCTTCTTACCCTTTTCGGAATCCTCTCATGTGCTACTGTCTTCTGGGAGAGATTTAAGCTTTGTTGCAGATGAAAAGATAAAAAGGCCTTTGAGCTGTGGAGCTCCACTGCGGCTTCTTTGTATCTTGCCCATCATGTTTGGAAGAAACTTCCCATTCTTTAACTCCATCGGCGGGTTCTATCCACGCGGTAATCTCCCTTATGCTGGTCCCAGCGTTCTGCCTGTCATTATCTGCTGCAGTGCCTTTTCCAATGAGTTTATCAATCTGCGCCGAGACCCATTTGCCTCCTTTTTATATACCCCAGGGGTTCTTTGCTTTACCAGAGGAATTAACTGGAGTTCCAAGCATATATACTCTAAACATCCAGGTTTCTTCACGATGCTGACTCTTTGTTTAAAGAAAGTCTAGACTCGAAGAGACCCTCGGGAACTGGGTATACCAGCAAAGTACGGGTCCGTGACAAGTATCACATCGTTGGCTTCATCAGCAGTGGTACATATGGTCGCGTCTACAAAGCCATCGGAAAGGATGGCCGGAAAGGCGAATATGCGATCAAGAAGTGAGTCAATTCATTTCCTTAATTTCTCCTATATCGGCTGACCAAATAAGATTCAAGCCCGACAAAGAGGGTGAAATCATCCAGTACACAGGTCTCTCGCAGTCAGCAATCCGGGAGATGGCTTTGTGCTCTGAATTAGATCACCCCAACGTAGTGCAATTGGCAGAGATCATCTTGGAAGACAAGTGTATCTTCATGGTATTCGAGTACACCGAGCATGATCTGCTTCAGATTATCCATCACCACACTCAGCCGCAGAGACATGCCATTCCGGCACCGATGATCAAGTCGATACTGTTTCAGTTGCTGAATGGCCTCCTATACCTTCATACGAATTGGGTTTTGCATCGAGATTTGAAGCCGGCAAACATTCTAGTGACCTCAAGCGGTGCGGTCCGCATTGGAGACCTGGGCCTCGCCCGTCTATTTTATAAACCGCTCAACTCTCTTTATTCCGGAGACAAGGTTGTCGTCACGATCTGGTATCGTGCTCCCGAGCTATTAATGGGCAGCCGGCACTACACGCCGGCCGTGGATCTTTGGGCAGTTGGATGCATATTCGCGGAACTGCTCTCTCTGCGACCCATCTTCAAAGGAGAAGAAGCTAAGATGGACAGCAAAAAGACAGTACCATTCCAGCGTAACCAGATGATGAAGATTATCGACATCATGGGCTTGCCCAGGAAGGAAACATGGCCCGGTCTTGTATCGATGCCCGAATTCTCCCAACTTCAGTCGCTAGCGATGTCGAGAGGTTACCTCAACAGACAGTGCAACCTGGAAGGATGGTACCAAAGTTGTCTGAAGAATAATGGGTATTCCCCAGCGTCTACTGCAGGCACGCCAGGTGCCGAAGGCTTCGACTTGCTATCGCGGCTGCTCGAATACGACCCTACCAAGAGGATATCAGCCCGGGAAGCGTTGGAGCATCCTTATTTCACCACTGGTACTCCAGTCACTGCTAATTGTTTCGCGGGCTACGAGGGCAAATATCCCCACCGCCGAGTCACTCAGGATGACAACGATATCCGCTCCGGCAGTTTACCTGGCACCAAGCGGAGCGGGCTGCCAGACGATAGTCTCATGGGCAGGGCTGCAAAGCGGCTCAAGGAGTGATTCGCATCTATTTTCTCTTCCGGTATTCGAGTTCAAGCATGTGACTGGCGTTTAGGGTCTTTCTCATAGACCATTTGGTGCATGGATTGGCGTCTATGGGCTTTCTGATATTGCAACTAAGATAGCATTGCGTTTGCGCCGACTTGGTCATTGTCTCAGGCACAATCATTGGCGAATTGTATTATACTATAGGAGAACTCGCCTCATTCCCATTACAGTTCGAACCGTTCATGGTAGTAATTAGACTTAGATTGCAAATGAAATAGGTGCTTTGATGTACAAATTCCATCCATTCCTTCCCTCCATAAACGCCTAATGAAATCCCAGTGCCATTACCGATTCCCATTTCTAGATCCATTTCATTATTGCGTTTCATAAAATACAATTCGATGTCAAGATTGAGCCGAAAAGACGCATAATCTCAGTAGCCTGCTAAGAGTCAGCAATAAGGCCTGAGGCAACAGACTATCTCGAACCAAACATACCACTTTGTTCTTTCCGACCATCTCCTCCCTCGTCCTTCTCGTTGCCGCCATTCCCGGAAGAAGCGGAGGCCTGACCAGCAGCAGCATCCTTGATCGGCTTCTCATCACCACGCAACTTCTCAAAGTAGGCCTTGATATCCTCAGCACTGACCGCCGTGCCGGACTCCGCAAAGGGCTTCAAAAACTCCTTCACTTTATCACGGAGGTGGTTATACACCATCGCACCCTCGATAGCCCGGACACGGTCGATGTTACTCAAGGCTGCCTCGCCGCGGTCGTAGATACTGCCTGTTCCGGTGCTGCCTCCGCCGTTGGCATCACCATCCTCCGAGAGAGGGGGCTCGTATGTTTCCTCCTCTTCGCGGAGTTGGGGGTACTTGGCCAGGTTGGGGTAACACTCTGGGCAGCGGCAGAAGCGCTCGCGGAAGTCTTCTTTGAGGAAGAGGGAAAATGCTCCGGATGGGGGTGGGTTAGGGAGGGATTCGTGCTTGGGTTTGGCGGGTTCGCGTTGAGTCGTGTCTGGCTTTGATTCTGTGGGGATTTCTTCATTATCGACCTCTGACTTTGTCCGCTTTGCAGATGGCACGTCTGTCTCCTTTGCCTCTGTCGTGTCATCGTCGTCCGCCTTGCGTTTCTTTGTGTTGGTCAACGGCTCGGAAGGCGCGTTCGGAGGCTCTGCGCTTGTGCGCTGCTCCTCGGGGCCTTTGGACAGTCTGCCTTCTTTGTAGACTGCCGGAAGAAACCCCGGTGTTCCTGCGTATCGCTTCAACCATGGATTTGATTCGACACATTTGTAACACAAGAATGTCTCGAAGTCATCTTCGGCCGGGAATCCCGGGGGCAGAGGCGTATCCTCATCGTCATTGTCATCCGCCTCACCATTCTGCTTCGCGGCCTCGACATCCTCCGTCGCAGCTTTCGCTTTCTTATACCAGTTCCTTGGCAGACCGATCAGGCACTCCGGATGCCACCAATCCTCACCACAACCACCGGTTTCGACCGTACCCAGCCCAAGACACTGAAACATTGTTCCTTTTTCTTCGAAGGCATTGTAGTTCTCGCCACAGCCGCAGAACCTGTTCTGAAAATTGTGGTTGTAATTGTTCTCCGGCGCTGGTTCCTGGGACCGAGCGCCCTTTGCACCGGTCTTGGGGTCATTCCGAAGCGTACAGGGTAGGCCGGACGACACGCGCGTTGTACCACAGTCGCAGACAAAGTTTCTCTTACTGAATAGCTCGACAAGGGTATGTTCGCCGTGGCAAGCGATAGAGCAGGAGTAGCAGACGCCTGCGGAAGTGTGCGGTGCATCTGGCTTATCGGACGGAGGGTTGCATGTGAGACAAGCAAACAGGATCTGTCGCAGGGGTCCTAGAGCTTGTGTGCAGGAATCAAAGGACTAGATGGCGTCAGATGAGGATTGCTTGTTGTCGCGATGGGGAGGAGACAGACTCACGTATGGTAGGATCTCGCGGGCGTCGGCCTCGAGACGCATTTGCGATTCGATGAATCTAGGACATCATGTGTGAGGAAATAGCGGTATAGCGTTTGGCTTTCTTATCAAAGACCATCATATAATTCACAAGTGGGCTTCTTACTCTTTGGCGGTTTGCGAGTTCTGAGAGCTGAAGCTCTCTCTCCGCTTACCGGCATCTTGAGAGTTCTTCTGCTGGTCGGTGCCGGCTAACGGCTCAACCGGTTCAGAGGAGCTCATTGTCGCTATCGCTCTTGTTATTAGGCTAACCGGTCACTGAAACAGGACAACAGATATATCAAGCAATGTGTCAGGTTGAAGATACGACCAAGTCCCTATCAAGATCCGACGCGACGCGGATGCACAAGATGTTTGTTCTGTTTGCACCAACCTTTGCTGGTTGTAATCTCCAAGGAGCTCAGTATTTTGCGGATGGCCTTGACTGCGTGGAAGCAAAGACCCAAAAGATTGCCAGCCGTGGATGGTGGATAGAACAAATTTGGTTCTTCAAGTCTTGTTGGTTATGAGGTGGTGGTACGAAGTGCAGTCAGTATCACTGTCCGGCTTAACACTAACCCTTTAAAGCGGCGACGTCCGAATGAGGCAAGAGTATTACCCAAGGAGGACTTAATTGAATCCGACGCGTGGGAGTCGCGCCTTGACGCGTCGTTTACCGCGCACCGGCACCAACACCGCCAAGGATTCTTTTCTCCCTTTGCTCCTCTCCCACTACTGTAAAGAAGTGTCTGTCATCCCGGCAACTTCTGTGGACATAGCCAATTCAGTCTGTTATATTCATCCTTGAGTGCCAGGCTGAAAATTACACAAAATGAGGTATGTACTTTAACCTGCACATTTGCCTTGTTGGCTGAGGAGCATTCGGCTTTCTTTCTCAGAGGTCTAATCAATTTCATGGCAGTTCACCACTTCGACCCAGCACATCTGCTGCCAATCGCGGCTTGGGGAGACTGAACCGACGTAAAAGATCCAGAGAGCCTGATGATGAAGTGTCATCTGTTGCTCCTCCCTCGAGTCGTAAGTTTTCATCGCATTGGAAACTCAAAAGTGAATTTGTAGATGGCTGATTTTCCCTAGCTCCTCCCTCCTCTCCTCCTATGCTCCCCTTTGATGATGACGACAACGAAAGAGATGAAGAAGCAGAGCTTCTGGGTGACATTGACGATATTGATGAGATGGCAGAGGATGAAGATGGAATCGACCTGTTCGGAGACAACTTTGAAAGAGATTACCGAGATGCTGGAAACGACCGTTATGAAGGCGAATACATTGACGATGATGGAGACCATGAAGAACTTGACATTGCAACTCGTCGGCAGCTGGAAGCTCGCTTGAACCGAAGAGATCGCGAGGTCGAGCGTCGCCGCCGCATGCCCGCCGCTTTCTTGCAAGATGATGATGAAGGTGATATGGACCTCACTCGCCAACCTCGGCGGCGAAGACATCACTACGATGAGGACCGCGAGGATATCGAAATGGGTGACGACGCCATGGAAGAGCTCTCCCTGGAGGAGTTAGCTGATGTGAAGGCGGCCAACATCACTGATTGGGTGCTGCAGCCACAAGTTCTGCGCTCGATCTATCGAGAATTCAAGGCTTTCCTCACAGAGTTCACCGACCAAGCTGGTCAGTCAGTCTACGGACACAAAATTAAAACACTTGGTGAGGTGAACTCTGCATCACTTGAGGTCTCCTATGTTCACTTGAGTTCCACCAAGGCCGCTCTTTCTTACTTCCTTGCGAATGAACCGACCGAGGTCCTCAAAGTCTTTGACCAAGTTGCGCTTGATGTCACACTTTTCCACTACCCTCAATACCAAGATATTCACAAGGAGATCCACGTCCGAATCTCGGATCTTCCGATCGTCTACACATTACGGCAGCTGCGCCAGCAACATCTGAACTGCCTTGTCCGCGTCAGTGGCGTTGTCACCCGCCGGACCGGCGTCTTCCCGCAATTGAAATATGTCATGTTCATTTGCCAGAAGTGCAATATCACATTGGGACCGTTCCAGCAGGAGGCGAGCGCGGAGGTCAAGATCTCTTACTGTCAAAACTGCCAGTCGAAGGGGCCGTTTACCATCAACTCCGAGAAGACCGTGTACCGGAACTACCAAAAGCTCACATTGCAAGAATCCCCAGGCTCTGTGCCCGCCGGACGACTGCCGCGTCAGCGCGAAGTCGTCTTACTTGCAGATCTCATCGATTCTGCCAAACCAGGTGATGAGATCGAGGTGACTGGTATCTACCGGAACAGCTACGACGCTCAGCTTAACAACAAGAACGGCTTCCCTGTCTTTGCCACAATCATCGAGGCGAACCATATTGTGAAGTCGCACGACCAGCTGGCTGGTTTCCACTTAACCGAAGAAGATGAGCGCGAGATTCGTGCCTTGTCCAGGGACCCCGATATTGTTGATAAGATCGTGCGCTCTATCGCGCCTAGCATTTACGGGCACCAGGACGTGAAGACCGCTGTTGCCCTCTCGCTTTTCGGTGGTGTGAGCAAGGAGGCACAAGGCAAGATGGCCATCCGTGGGGACATCAACGTACTTCTTCTCGGTGACCCCGGTACAGCTAAGTCGCAGGTGCTGAAGTACGTTGAAAAGACTGCCCACCGAGCGGTCTTTGCAACCGGTCAAGGCGCAAGTGCTGTTGGTCTTACGGCCAGCGTGCGTCGCGATCCTTTAACCAGCGAATGGACTCTGGAAGGAGGAGCTCTGGTGCTTGCGGATCGGGGCACATGCCTGATCGATGAGTTCGATAAGATGAACGATCAGGACCGGACTTCGATCCACGAAGCCATGGAACAGCAGACTATTTCTATCTCCAAGGCTGGTATTGTCACCACCTTGCAAGCCCGTTGTGCTGTGGTGGCAGCCGCCAACCCTATTGGTGGGCGCTACAACAGCACAATTCCGTTCTCCCAGAACGTCGAGCTCACAGAGCCCATCCTTTCGCGTTTCGATATTCTCTGCGTCGTGCGGGACATGGTCGATCCGAATGAAGACGAGCGTCTAGCCAACTTCGTTGTCGAGTCTCATCACCGAGCCAACCCCACCCGGCCTCTCAGGGACCAGGACGGCAACTTGATTGATTCGGAGGGCAACCGGATCGATGAGGAAGGTTATCGCCTGGATAAGCACGGCAACCGCCTGGCACCCACTCCCGAAGAAATTGCCAAGCGTGAGGCAGCCAACGCAAGGCAGAAGAAGAGAAGGAGGGCGAGATCCCCCAGGAGCTCCTGCGGAAGTACATCCTGTACGCGCGCGAGAGATGCCACCCCAAGCTCTACCAGATCGATCAGGACAAGGTCGCGCGGCTCTTCGCCGACATGAGACGGGAGTCTCTGGCCACTGGCGCCTACCCCATCACTGTGAGTGGTTTTCAACATGTCTTCTTTCAACCTATCGTACTAACCACAACCAGGTCCGTCACCTGGAAGCCATCATGCGTATCGCCGAAGCTTTCTGCAAGATGCGTCTGTCCGAGTACTGCTCCGCCCAGGACATCGACCGCGCCATCGCTGTTACGGTCGAGTCCTTCATCGGCAGCCAGAAGATCAGCTGCAAGAAGGCCCTCTCCAGGGCATTCGCCAAGTAAGTTCTTTTTCCTCGCGGCTCCTCCCCTTCTACATGAAAGGCAGGATCTAACCCCGACTCAATAGATACACACTCTCCAGACCCAAACCCCAGTCCAAGCGGCGAGCCGGCATCCCCGCTCCAAACCCCTACGCTCTCCGCCCGAGTCAAGCCACAAGAGCGTAGACATACGCGCAGGCATAGGGATAGCTAATCGTGCTCGTGCTTATGCTCACACTCATGATGATCATGTCTCTTCCTCATTTCAATTTTTCATTTAATTTCTTCCTCCGTCACGGTCACCACATTGCATAATGCTCGCTTCGCTTCGCTTCGCTTCGCTCATGCTTCTTCGGCAAGTCACATGCCCGATTAGTTGTCTGCGGCTGGATACGCATGGGCTCTATTTTCAACAAGATTGGGTTGGTTTATGGAATGTCTTCGGAGGGGCGTTTTGTCCTGTGTATATTTGCAATACTTGGTATCCAAATCTGATATAGAAATAAGTTTGTGTCTATCTAGATTATTTCATGAGTTTACATCTGGGTGATAATGAGTAAAACGCTTGTACTATGTTGATCTTGGAAAACAAAGTACTGACTTTAATAGAGAGACGAAGTACCTATCAATGTACGCTGACGCTGTATGATGTATGATTGAATCTAGTGAAATGGCATGACCCCGTGATAGAGCGATACAGGTGAAAAGCTAGGGTATGAAACAGAGGTGAGAGCCCGTCAGGGCAATGCAGCATCGCATATCCGGTCCCAATCCCAACAAACGCCACTCCTTTCGCACCCCACGCAGGCTGCTACTGAGCAGAACGACACCAGGCCACTGTTCACAAGCTTGTGCAGATCGTATCCCCATATTGGTGGTAGAAGACCTCAGCAGAATGTCCAGAGGTATAAATGCCATGGCATGTCAACATGCCAAGCGGTGTCCCCGCTACGATGCGGTACAATCATGTCCGAATATCATCGGCATCACGGCAAGTAAGAGCTTATGATACTCGAATACTATAAATAGTATCGGTATGGAGGACATCCCGGCGAATCCGGCACACACGCGTCCAAGAGTCCTTCAATCCGTTGCTTCCCGATCGAATTCATCGGATCAACACAGCCCCTGGAGCAGAAAACAGAACAAGGCAAATTTCCGAGACTGCCGGTTCGAGGTCAGGCAACTCAGTCATTGCTGACCCGCCGCTCGGGCCGGGGCTTCCGCAAACTCTTCATTCTGTTGATGAAGCCGCCGCCGCCTCCGCTCTTCCCATCTTCAACCCCGGTATTCGAGCGTTCATTGGTGAATCTTCTCTCGAGGTTGGTGCTCTGTTTGGGGCTGCTGGAAGACCGTGCACAGCCACCTTCAATGCCTGATCGCGATTCCTCAGCGGTGTTGATCCGAGCGCCTTTCTTATCCCAAGCGTCATCATAATCTTGGAAGAATGGGTTCTTCTCGTTCGCACGAAGCGACCCAGAGTGGCTGGAGCTGAGTGGAGGATTATAGGAGGCATCGGGGGAGGCCATCCGTCCACCTTGCGGCTTATTGATTCCTCGTAGTCTTTGAGCAAGACTCTTCTTCCGCTGAAGGCCTCCATTCTGGGAGAATTGGTTCTCATTCTCGCTTGCGCGACGCTGCATCGCAGCACGACTTGCTGGCGCTCCCTCAAGAAAAGTGCTTGTACCAAGGCCCATACTCTCTGCTCCATGGATGGGTTCAATGCGTGACTTCGGGTCGAAGCTGACGGGCTCCCCGCTCTTTGCAGCACCCGTCGAGCCGTAATCGTTGAACCCTTCCTCCATCGTACCGTGAAATTGGTCGAGGTTAATATTCTTGTTGACGGGCCCGGAACCCCCCAGCGCCATGTTGGGAGAGTCCTTGGGGAAGGCCTGCATGGGAGCGGTGCGCGATCCTT